ACATTGGACTCAGCTGGGGCGGCGCATGTAGGCCAGAGGGGGCCACCAGGGGGCGACAGAGGCCGGTGAGGACTGCGGGGCCCTAGCATTCCACCCGCGGATTTTTAGGTCCCGCCCCCTACCGAGGAAGGTACCCAGCTTTTCCTGGGCGAATCAGAGGTTGGAGCCACCAGAGACCAAAGTCCTTTCTGGGCCCCCCTGGCGAAGGGCCCCAAAATGACAGTGTCTGGGTACCTGGGCGGCATGACCCCAGGCAAGGGACTTCCCGGCGCAGTGTCCTCATTTGTGTGATGGGCACTCGCCTGACGCCACCTTCCCAGGTAGTCGTGGGTCTACCACTTACTCGGGTTCGTGGCCACCGACAGCCCCTCCGCGCGACCTTCGTTGTACGGTACGCCCGACACAGGCAGATGCTCTGTGCGTGTTTGACAAGGAGCCAACGAATAAATTAAGGATTGACGGAAAAGGCTTAGTCTGCGCCAGGTTTGTGTCCTGCGGGTTCAGTTTACTCCTCTGGGGCAGGGGCTCCTCTATCCCTACTTCAGACGGGGAAACGGGCCCATATGCACCTCTTCTAGGGCGTATGCACTAAGGACTTGGCCCCCATGTCTTCCATGCGGCTTAGCCCGAGGGTGGGGTTGGTGATGCGCTCCCGCTAGGCTCTAGAGAACGGGGAGTCCAGTTGGAGAAGGGGTTCAATCGAGCCCAGTTCTCCAGCGGTTCTCAACCTGTGGGCTGCGATCCCTTCGGAGGGTCGAACGATGGTCGCCTAAGACCATCGGAAAACACATATATAATTACATATTGTTTTTGTGATCAATCACGATGCTTTAATTATGTTCAATTTGTAACAATGAAAATACATCCTGCATATCAGATATTTACATGACGATTCATAACAGTAGCAAAATTACAGTTATGAAGTAGCCACGAAAATAATTTTATGGTTGGGGGTCACCACAACATGAGGAACTGTATTAAAGGGTCGCTGCATTAGGAAGGTTGAGAACCACTGCCCTAGAGGACCCCGCAGCCTTGAAAGCGAACCCCAGTCCGGTGCGAGAGTGAGCTCCGGTAGCTCAAAGGCCCTCCAGCACAGCGGGGCTTGAATGCCGAGGCCACTGCTCCCAGCTGTGCGGCCTGGGGGGAGCGACGGCCACCTCTGAGCCTCAGTTTCCCGCACCGGGCGACGGGAGACAGGAGGAGCCAGGGTGGAGCGCCGCGCGAGGCCTCCCCGCCCCAACCCCCAGCAGCCACTCACGTGACCGACCCCGTCCAGGGAGGAAAGAGTGCGGGCAGGTCCGGGGGTGGAGTTTTGCTGACCTGGGCGGGAACCCAATAAATCCGCAGCCCGCGGCCTGGGGCCGCCCCTTGAAGCCCCACCGAGACCTCCTGCTGTCAGCGCTGGGCGCGCCTCCCTGGGAGAGGGACAGAGCCCTTCGGAGCGGGAGGCGAGGTGCACGGACAGACAGACCGACGGCGGAGGCAACCGCGTAGACGGAAAGGAGAGCTAGGGAGGCAGCGGGCCACGGCAAAGGCCGCCAGGAACCGAAGGGAACAGGCGTGCGCCTCGCGGAGGAGAAGGCC